TGTTGTTCAGCATCTTAGCTATAGAGGGCAGTGTCACTGGCCCTCATATGTGGGATCCGAACCGGGGCCCTCTGGTGTCCCAAGCCAGTTCTTAACCATTGCGCCACTTGGCTGGCCCCATTTGTTCACTTTTTAGGTGAAATAATAATACACAAGTTGAAATACAGCTTGAGACTTGCAGGAAAGAAAACTTCCTTAGTTTGTATGACATGGCTCTCATAAAAATGAACTCTGTGTCGTCCTACCCCATGCACCTGTGTACTTTTCAGACATCACAGATACTTTCCAAAGCAACAATCCCAAGTCTTTGCTCCCAGTGTGACACAAACGGTTTCTTGAGCTGCCCTGGGACTCATTCTTGCCTCCTAGTTTTCTTATCTCCCAAATCAAAGTCAGCCCTGCCTCCTAATAATTATCTCTAAATCCAGCCTCGTAATTCAAGCTGTAGTTTGCTTTCATTAGACTATTTTTGAGATCCTTAAGTATTTTCCCAGCTTCTAGTTTTTACTGCCTTCCTCCCACCTCCACCCCAAATGTACCTCCACAACCACTAGAGCCGTAGTTCTCAACCAGCCTTGCTTTTGCCCCTAGAGGGCATTTGTCAATTCCTGAAGACATTTTTGGTTTTCACAACTTGGTAGATGCCAAGTAGAGGCCAAGGATGCTGCTCAAATTCCTATACTGCACAGGACAGCATCCCCACTCCCCGCCTGGCAAAGAATTGTGAGTCCAAATGTCACTAGTGCTGAGGTTGAGAACCCCTGCACTAGAGATCTTTCCAAAATAAAAAGCAAGTCACAGTATTGTTTTTTGATTCTTATCTCTGCTCTCTTTCCTCCTTATAATCTCTTGATAGTTCCACATTACTGAGAGAAGTCTGAACTGATAACCTAGTCACTAAGATGCACACATAACATACCCTGGGCAGTTAAGCTACAGTTCCTGAATTCATCATCCTTTTCCCATTTTTGTCTCTATACATGATGATACTAACCCAGAATACCTTTCCACTGAGTAACTTCCACCTATTTCTCAAAATATTGCTCAGATATTGCTTCTTCATTAATGTTCTCCTTGACCAAAACACACTACTTCTTCCTTTGCCACCATAGTACTTAATATATGCCTCTCATCACATTTCTTACCTTGTGTTTACATGTTATTGCCACCTTCTGATCTCCTTGGGGACAGGGACCATATTGTAACATCTACTTTTTTAGTCCCTAGTGCTAAACACAGAGATCTGTTAGTCAACAAATTATCCAGTTACTTCCAATTCCTGGAAACATCTGTGAACAGAAGCTGGGTTTTGTGCATTATCCATGTACCCTTGACTTGTAATGAGGAAGGGATTAATCTTTGTGGCCCGCCATACCTGTAAGAGCTAAGGTATTTGGAAGGATGTTGCTTTTATTGCCCAACATTACTCTGCGTAAAGCTTTATGGAGGGCTGTAAAAACAGTGTAAACTAATAAAGCAAGACTCTGCTATCAGGAGGTTACCACCACATGTGGTCCTTGGCACTGGGAGCTGTAGGCTTCATCTCATCACAAGCTCCATGCTTTTCATTTGACCTAGAAGTGATTTGGGGTTTTTTCAATGGTTAACATTTAAAAGGATTTTATTCTTGATCCCTGTACAGAATTATCTTATCAGTGCTTTACTTAATATTAGTTATAGGGAATTTAATTTGAACTTCCAAACATCTTCATTTTATCTCAATGGAAGGTTCCAATGGGTGGAGAAGAACGAATGGCAGGATTTCCTCCTCTTGTTGCTGAAGACATTATATTAAAAGGACTTGGGGAAACTGAAGCAGTGGCTGACATCAAATTTTCTTCTGCAGGTAATTTTATACCAAGCACTTTTCTAAAGGTGAATAAAGTAGCCTGACTAACTCATAGTATTTTTTTATAGAAATGTGCCTTAGCTGACATAAACTGAGTATTTTAAGGCATACTAGTTTATTCATAAATGCACCCTACTCTGAAAATCAATTTGTACCTTTTCACAAATGCATTGTGTGCTTTTTTAAAAAATAAAGTAAAAGAGAACAGTAACCTCGTTTGGTGCTCCATTTTACGCTTTGGGTGTTTTCAGTAAGATAGTTGCTAACACCATTTTGTGTTCTGTCGCATGCCTGCATAGGCTGGGTTGCAGTGACGCCTCAGTTTAAGGACAGACTACATCTCCGAGGCCATACACCTCAAGGAACAGTGCTGACGGTCCGGCCCCCTCTCTTGCCACATATCATTAACATCAAAGGAGAGCGTATCAAGAGAAGTGTGGCTTATAAAACCAAGAAGCTTCCTTCCCTTGTGTACAACCTGCAGAAAAAGAAAAAACAGATAAATACATGAAGCTGACCTTACCAGTGCTGAATATGAACTCTATTGAACCTAACTACATACATTGAATTGTATTAAATGTAGCTATAATAAAGCTCCCCAGTTCCCACTCATTTTTTAAACTCAGGAATGTGCCTATTTGTAATATATTGAGTTTGCAACTACATGTTAGATTTTTGTAGGGAGTATTATATGTACATATCTGTGACCCAAATATACCTAAAAAGGAGTTCTGGTACATTAAAGTTTCTCTCACTGTTTGTTTGTTTTTTTATTATTGAGATCAGATGTCATTTCCTATTTGGAGTCTAGTTGAGAGGGCAACTTAGTGGTTGGCATATGAATAAGCAGCAGAAAATCAATTTCTCCAAAATACATGGCTTCAGTAAGACAGAGGTGAGTAGGTGGCTCTGCGCCATGTAGTCATCTAAGGAGCCAGCTGGTGGAACATTCCATGGCCTCCATCTCTAGGTCTAAGGTATTTGCTCAAGTGGTCAGCCTTTCCCAGCGAGGGGGAAGAGAGGAAGAGATGAAGAGCAAGCAGCTTCCCAGTTTCAGCGAAGGCGGGGAAAACTGGAAGTTGCATACATCATTTCACACAGTCCACTGGACAACTCACATGGCCATATCTACCCACAAGGAAGCTGGGAGATGTAGCAGGAAATGGGGACCATTTCAGATTTTTATGACTTAAGGAATAGGTGGAGAATGGACACTGGAGAACAAGTAAAAGTTTACATGATTTAAAAGTATCTGAAAATCTTAGGTAAAAAAGTATTCAAGTTATATCTAGCATCCATCTATTCTGCAACTATCATATCATTTAACTTTAATATTTGTACGCACTGTATAACATTACATCAATACGAGTTTTTACTTTTTATTCCTAGATGAATACAAAGAACAGTTGGCAAGTCAAGTCCCAGATCCCAATGTTGAGATAAATGCTAGTGGGATAAGCTGGCCTGAAACGCAGTCAGATCCGTGAACTTCCTGTAGACTCGGGTTTAGCATAAACTTAACAGACTCATGTTCTCTGTCAATGTATCCCTTCTAGCCCCCTTCTCACTAAGTCCTCTTAGAATAAATGGTTAATATTTTAAAATGCAACTTGTAAAAACTTTATAGCTCTCACTTTCATCGTCTTCCTAAGTGAATACTATTGGCATCCAGGAAAGGTAGTTCTTTATGTGTAAAACTGCATGTAAGGGCCGGCTGAGTGGCTCAGTTGGTTAAGAGCTCGCTCAAGAGTTTGAGCTCTGAGCAATAGTGGTTTGATTCCTGGCCCGAGCTGAGCAGCTGCTGAGCTGCCAACTGGTGGCAGGATGGCTCAGCTTAAAAAAAAAAAAAATCACTGCATTTAAGTATGTGGAACAGCCCTCATCCCCAGATATAAATGCCAGTAGCAACTCCCCCTACCCCATCAGTTATGACAACCTAAAAGTACCCCTGACATTTCCAAACCCACCCTCTAGAGGGCGGTAGCTTCCCAAGTTGAAATTGGTAGCTGATTTCTAGTTTTTTCATTTTGGAAAGAATGAAATATCATTAATTTTACAAAATAAAATTGTGTCCATTATATTTCTATCTACTGTTCATAGTTTGGAGCTTAAGCCTGCCTCTTTAGAAAGAATGAATAAAATATGGTAAACTTGGTATTTGTAGAGAAGTACAGAACAAAAAACTGATGCTATTACCCAGATAATTTCTGCATATGTATTTTAGGAAGCAAAACATTTCTATCTTCTTTAGGTTTTAGGCATCTTCACTAGCAAAGATTGTTTTTAAATGTTCATAACTTGTATTCCCAAGTCTCTCTTACCTCTAAAATTCAATATTTTTGTTTCATAAAACTTGACTGAGGCATATCTAAAACTGTTCCAAGGTACCTTGCTAGGAGTTTCAAACAGTGCAATTTACTAAGTAAGTTTCAGTTTCCCTAATTATATTAGTTCATCTCTTTGGGTCTTCATTTTCTCACCTGTAGAATGAAGACATGACAGTAGATTTTTCTCAGTCATAAAAGTTAATCTTTTATGGTTCTCAGTAAGAAAAGCAGGAAAGCCAGGAAAGGGTGGTTCCAATACCTTAAACAAAAGAGAGTCCGTGCCTAGACAGTCGAGGACTTCTGCTAGAATCTGATATTAATTTACTGTATATTCTGCCAGCCTAATGCAGCTGGCCTATTCAACTGTTCTGCAGTGGATTTTGCTTTAAGAAAGTTGTGTCTGTTTACTCATACTTCCGCCATTAATCTGAATGTAAAGACTTTCCTTGAATTAGTAATGTTTACCCTATGGCAGCATGCAGGAATTAGTAGAGGAGAAATTAAAGGAAAAGCGTCAGGACAGCCCCCTCAGTTCCACAGAACAGAAGTTGATTTGAGTAGCTGGAAAACCATTAAGCAAGTTAATATTAGATCTTTCAGTTGGCAGCCTTGTGGTGTTCCATATGTGCTTTTGTATTCATGACACCTAAAAAACATAAAATATGTGCCAATAAAGGGCTTTTTGTCTTCTATGTGACAAACTTAAAGTTTTAAGTTATACCTTTTTTTTCCCCTTTAAAAGTTTTTCCAAAGTTATTAAGACAAAGTGAAGTTGAACACATTTTGTATTTTTAATCACCATAAATGGCAAGCCCTACCAGTCATTAGGGCTTCACTATGTAGTTCCCCAGAATCTAAATTTGTTGCTTGTGACACTCACTTCCCATGACCAAGGAGGAGTACACATGCAATCTTGTGTGCTTGTGTTTTGTTTTTTTTTATCATTCAGACACTTCTCGCAAAATGGAGATCAAGCCGAGTTTCCTGCAGATGACTAACTTGGAGCTGCAGCTGTGCCAGCCGAGGCAGTTGTTATTGCTTCACTGAGTAGGCACCCAGCGCAGAGGCGAGCTCTTTCGTAGACAGCCTCTGATCATTTACCCTGGCTTCCCTCCCACTTGGCTCTGCCTCGTGGAGCAACAGAATCATTTCCATTCTTTCTCAGACTGTTCCATTTTCACTTGGCCACTTTCCTCCTCCCAGGGGGATTGTTTTTTCTCAACTGTCACAGAGTAATGCTTAAACATTAAAAACAAGACCAGACTCATGTGAATCGAAGATAGCACCTCTGCCAGCTCTTAATATTTGTCATGCTGTCTGCCCTGTTAATGCCATATAGTGGGAGAGAAATGGTTCAAGATTAACATTTTAACATCATATAGGAACAACGCCTCACTTTTTCCCTTTATGTCAAAGAGCATCCTTATTCCCTCATTCCATAAAGGAGTTTCATGATCTGAATATTTCTAAGTATGTCTAGATCAAATTTAAAATACCCACGGCTTGAACCCCCAGATTCCTGTTTTTCAAAGGCTTCCTTTTACTTCCCAAATAATTTTCAAAAGTTAACCTTCTGGGTAGTGAATCTAGTGGAATAATGCATTGGGTTTTAATATCCTCATTGGTAGATGCAATCGGTATGATGCTTAATCATACATTGTCAGTACTTTCTGACCAGTAGCTGCAGTAACTGAGAAAACTGAGGCCAAGAAAAAAAGACACACATGTGCTAAAGAAGACATCATCAGGTGATTTGGAAAGTGAAAGACTGCCAAGATAATTTTGTTACTTTTCAGTAAATCCCTGGAAAATAGGCATTCAACACATGAATGAATGAATTAGGAGAATGAGGGAACTGTTTGATTGGTTGGTATCTGCCTTCCCTGGACAATAGCAAAAGAGCAGGCTTACATTTGCTTAGTAGCGTTCACACTTTTCTAGGGTTTCCTCCCTTCTTGCTTAAAGGCAGTACCTCACAGTAATACTTCAGACTAGTCATAATTACTATAGTCATGATAGCCCATATATCTGATTCTTTTACATTCTTTTAATAGTAGCCAACTCTTGTATTTAGCCAGGCAGTGTTTTAAGTGCTTTACATATATTAACTAAATCCTTACAACCGCATGCAGGAAGTATTATTATTACCTGTAATTATAGATGAGGAAACTGAGGCACAAGTAACTTACCCAGGGTTACACAACTAATAAGTGATGGAGCTGTAATTCAAATAAACTCAAGCAGTCTAGCTCCAGCATCCATGTGGGGTTTTCTAATTACATAGTCAAACTGACTCGTTTTCCTTTTGATGTACAGTTCTATAAATTTGAATATTTGTATAGGTTCATTTAACCACCGCCATAATCAGGATACAGAAAAGGCCCATCAGCACCCAGGTTTTTAAGCACTACACAGTACTTCTAGATACTAGAATTCATCACAAGTCTAAAGGCGAGAACTTCTCAACCTTAGGAGAATGTTATCAGAAAAGAAAGGTAACCCACTTTGAAGACCTTTCACAGTAATGACAATTCCTTGGAAACTGTAGCTGCCACATAATCCTTTTTCTAGCTTCCTTTGAATCCTAACATATACAATTCTACCCAGTATTTCTCAGAGCTAGTGTGTGTGTGTGTGTGTGTGTGTGTGTGTTACACTCTTGCTGTCTTACTTTAGCAATGCTATCCAAACCTAAACAAATGTCCCAGTGTGATTTCCAGGCTGTCTTCCCGTATCAGATAGATTTAAATCGACTGTGCTTTCATGGCTGGCTGGGAATCTTTTCACATTGCTAGTAAGCTTTGCCAAGTACCACGGACAGATCACAGCATGAATGGAGATCCTGACCCACAATTCTGATTAATAGTAAATTAGGTAACACTGAAAATCTGGAATGCAAACATCTAAGGAGCCACACAACTGAACTACCATAGAAAAGAAACTGATTTTTTTTTTTAAATCCTGGTCCTACCAGTGACATAGAATTAGAACTGGTGGTCCCCATTTAATTGCAAATCAAATAGGTTCAAAACAAAATTAATTTGGCCCTGAACTTGTTTAAATGGCCTTGCCTTTTCTACTTGTGTAGCACTAATCTTGTTTCCTGTTCCTTTTTACATCTGACTTTCACTAGAAAAGGACCCTAGAGGATGCCCAATTAAAAGCTTTCTAGTATCTCCAGTTTCTCTCAGCATTTAACATCTGGCCTACAAAGATTTATCTTTTTTCCTGTCTTTGACTTTAAATTCTAGTTAAACACTCCACAGAAAAGAAAATTAGAGAAATGGTGACTACTTTCCTTTAAAATGTCAGATAAAAATTGTATTTTATTGAAACACTAAGGAAAATGTCTTTTTCATAGAATACAGCTATTATGTAAAGCTAATTCTGATAAATGTGTTGAAATTCTCAGTGGGAACTTGGATGAGTGAG